GTGGGGGGGTGAGGTGGTGGGACCTGAAGGGATGGGGGGGGGGAAAATTGGGCACCGCGGTGGGGGTGTGGATAACACCCCAGTGGCTACAAACCCGAGGGCCACCGCCACCCTTAGGCACCATCCCTGTCCCTGTGTTGGGGTGCCGCAGACCTCCCCAATCTCTCCTGCAGGCCCGGAAATTCCCCTGTCCAGCTACCACTCCGCAGCTCCCCCAGCTCCCTTCCCCATGGACCCCAAAGCTGGCCCTACACCTCCCCAGCCTGGCTTCACTCCCATGGCCATGTACCCCCCACCCGGCCCTGCTGCCCAGTACCCCATGTACCCCTCCGGCCCCCCTGTCTACAACCCCACAGGTGAGCACCGGGGGGGAAGGGGGACCCTCCCTATTCCTCAGGGGGCCTGGTGGCCTGGTGACACCCCATCTGTTCCCCCCACAGCACCACCACCCTACGTCCCGGCACAGCCCAGCTACCCTGGAGCGTAAGTCCCCGCGGGGGCCCCCACACCCGCCGCCGGCCAGCGGGGCCAGGCTGGGGACCCCCCCTGGCGCTGGGGGGCTGCCTTAGCTGGCGCTGGGCAGGGCTCTTCCCAGCCATCCTGGTGTGATCTGGTGCCAGCAGAACAGGGTGGCCCCTTGTGCCGCACACTGGGCCCTTTGTGGGTGCCTACTCCCCCGGCTCTGGGTGCCAGTGGCCCCAAGCACCCGTGGAGGGGTTCCCGGGGGGGTCCTCCGAGGGCCGTGCACTGCTGTCTCCCTGCACACCTACCCCGGATTCAACGCCGGCTCTTCCCTCTGGGGTTGGCATTAAACCACGTCTTGTGCCCACAGCCTGGTGTCATCTCAGTGGCTCTAATGGGGAAAAAGAAAGGGCAATGCCCCCAACCCCTTCCCATGAACTGTAATATGGGGGAACATGAAATTCTTCTCTCCCTTCTGCTCCCGAGACTTCTCCATCCCAAAATTGTGTTGGGACGGGAAATTCCCACCAAATCAGCCGCTTGGATGAGCCAGCCTGGAGTGCTGCTGCCCACCCAGCCCCCCTCACTCAAAACGGGGGCATGAAACCACCCTGGAATCTTTTGGGTGAGAAAACAGTAAATTCTCTGCCGGGATTGGGACTGTGGGAGCATGAACAATTCCTCTATCCATGCCCGCTCCCCTGGACAGGAATAAGCAGGGGAGGGTGGGTGGTATGTCACCCCAATGGTTGTTCCTGGTGGGATTCATGCCTGCCAGCACTGCTGGCTAAATTTGCAACCAGAGTCCATCAGTCCAGGAGAAAAGCCAGGCAGAGCCGCCTGGAAGAACAAACCCCTGTCCCATCTCCCAGCCCCCTGCATCATCCCCAAAAACCGTCTGAGGTGCCTGGAGTGCGGGGAGCCGTGGGGGTGCAGCTCCGAGTTTTATTGAGGTGGGATGGACAGGAAAAGAAATAATAATAAAAATAATAATAAAAGCAGCGACGTTGGTTCTGGGGGGAGGGGTAGGGGTGTGTGTACACAGCCAGCTGCGTGGGAGGCTCAGGATTTGGGGACCCCCCGCTCCCGGAGGTAGAGGTCACGGATTTCGGCCAGGCTCCGACTGAGCACGCCCAGCGCCTGGGCGATGCCGCGCAGCACCGCCGTGGTCTCCCGACGGCTCTCGGCGTATTCCCGGCGGAACGCCCGCATCTCCTGCACCAGCCGCTCATTGGACTGCACGAGGCTGAGCTGGGGGCACTCGGGGGTCCCGTCCAGCCCCGCCGCCCCGGGGGGCCCCCCCTCTCCCGCGCCGCAGTGACTGAGCTGCTCGGCCTCCTGCTCCAATAGCAGGCTCGGGAAGTCGGAGCCCAGCGGCTCCTGCTGCCCGCCTAGGTCGCCGAGGGAGAGTTCGGAGGGTGCGGAGCGCGGGGGGCTCCGGCTCCAGCCCTCGCACAGCTCGTTGGGCGGGCAGATGCCGGTGCGGGGCAGCCGACAGTCTGAGCCGCGGCCGGGAATGCCGTCGGCAGCAGGGCCGTGGAAGGGCTCAGTCTTCACCTCCACAGGCTCCTCCTTCACCGGCTCCTCCTTGACACCTGTGGGACAGAGGGGAGCACAGGACAGCTGCAGGGATCTCTCGTGTCCCCAGTGCCCCACGGACCAAGTGAAACACCCTGTTGTCTCCATCCCTGTGCTCCCACATCCCCTCTCCTGCATCCAGTCCTGGTTCCATCTATACCTATCTCCATAGTCCCGTGTCCCTCATGCTAGTTCAACCCCATCCCCTGTCCCTTGTCCCTCTCCTGTTCCCAGTACTCCCATACCCCTATCCTGAATGTGGTGTCCCCATGTGCCTGTATGGTTCTGGTACCCCCACATCCCTGCCCTAGTGCACACACATCCCTGTGCTGAGTGTGGTGCCTCTATGTCCCTGTTTGGTCCTGGTACCAGCATGTCCCAGTTCTCACCCCACTAACCCCCATGTCCCTGTTCTGGTCCCAGTAACTGGCATGTTCCTTGTCTCTGTCTTGGTCCTGCCCCATGTCACTGTCCCAGTCCCACCACATCTTTGCCTGCTTCCCAGCCCCTTCTTATCCCTGTCCAGGTCCTAGTACCCTGTGCCTTTTGTCCCTGTCCTAATCCCAGTCACCCATATCCTTGTCCTTATCCTGGTACCCTTCTGTCCTGGAGTAGGTATCCCTGTTATTCTCCTTGTCTCCTATGTCCCTGTCCTGGTCCTCCCACATCCCTGTCACCTGTCCCAATATTCCATGTTCATACCCCTTTGCCCTGACTCTATGTTCCCTCTGTGTCCCTGCCCCACTGTTCCTGTCCCAGTCCCTCCATGCACCTGTAATGGTCCCAGTGTCTTGGTCCTGGTTTTTCCCACATCTTGGTCCCAGTCCTCACATGCCTGCCCTGTTTGCCTGGATCTGTGTCCCAGTCCCTCCATGTATCTTCCCAGGCCCAGTGATGCCTTAGGATGCTGTCATATCCCTCATGTCCCTGTCCCAGTCCTCCATGTCCCTGCCATTGTGCCCTGTATCCCTGTCCCTGTCCCCCATGGCATGGTCCCAGTGTCCCTGTCCTAGCCTTAATCTCCTGTGTTCCTGTCCTGGTCTCTCTACACACCTGTCCTGCTCCCAGTTTCTTGCTCCTCATCCCCTGCTCTTGGCTCTGGTCTTCTGTGTCCCTGTCCCAGAACCATGTTTCTGTCTTGGTCCCCTGTGTCCTGGTTATTCCATGTCCCTGTACTGGTCCAAGTGTCTCTGTGTCCCTGTCCCAGTTCCTCATGTCCCTGTACTGATGCCCTGTATCCTGGTTCTCCAGGTACTGATCCAGGTCCCCTGAGTCCCCATCCCCATCTCTCTATGCACCTGCCCCTGTGTTCTGGTCTGGCTGTGTCCCTTTCCTGGTCCTGCACACCCTGGTCCTGGTCTCCTGTGTCCCTGCATGCACTTGTCCTGGTCCCAGTGACCTGTTTCAGTCTCAGTTCTCTTGCATCCAAGTCCCAGTCTGTGTCCTGGACCCCCACATCTTGGTCACAGTATCTCCATGCCACTACTGTGGTCTCCTGTATCCTGATCCCCTCACTTCCTGGTCCCCTTGTGTCCCTGTTCCTCCCAACCTCTCCCAGTCCCAGTGGCCCTGTGTCTGTGTCCTGGTTTCCCATGTCCATGTCCTGGTCCCACATGTTCTGCTCCTGGTCCTTGTCTCTCTTGAGACCAGGGTTAGATGGGGTACTGGGGAGAAATTCCTCCATGCGTATGTCCTGGTTCCAGCGTCCCCATGTACCTGTTACTTGTCCCTACTTCCTAAACCCATTTCTCGATGTCCCATTCCACCTCATCCGCGGCCCCTATTTCATCCCCCATGCCCATCCCGGTCACCCAGCAAGTCCCTGTCCCGGTCTCCCATGTCTGTGTCCTGGTTCTTCATGTCCCTGTCCCACCATACACCGGTACCGGTCCCAGTGCCAGGGTCTGTGTGCCGCTCCCCCTGCAACCTGGTCCCAGCATCCCCTGTCCTAGTCCCGGTTCCGCACGTCCGAGTCCCGGTCCTCCATGTACGTCTCTCCACTCTTCCGTGCCAGCCCCAGCACCCCCGTATCCCCGCCCCGTCCCCCTGCCGCTGCCCGCACATTCACCGTGCTGTGCCGAGCTCTCGGCGCTGAGCATCGGAGGGTCGGTTCCGGCGGCGCCGCGAGGACCCCAGACGGGGGCGGGGGCGGGCCCCGGGCCGGGCTCGGCCGCGCCGTTCCCGTTGCTCCCGTTATTCCCGGTGTTCCCGTTCCTGGCGGCGGCCCTGCCGGCCGGAGCCTGCCGCTCCAGCCGGTGCCGGCTGATCTTGTCCCCGGCGCGGCGGCGTAGCCCCCGCCAGCGGTTCTTCACCTCGCCGATGTCGCGCTGGTGGCGGCCGGCGGCGTTCACCTTGTGCGTGATCCGCCACCAGATCTTCTGCTTCTCGTACGCGTTCACGGTACCGGCGGCGGCGCCGAACAGCAGCGGCTCGTACCGGAGCACTTCGCTCATCAGCACCTCCAGCTCCTGCAGCGTGAAGTTTGGTTTCCGCTTCAGCAGCCCCCGCCGCGCCCCGCCGCCGCCCGCCGCCGCCATGCTCCCCGCCGCCTCCGCCGCCTCATGCCGACGCCCCGCCGTCCATCGCCGCCGCCGTGTGCCCTGCGCCGGTTCCCCGGTACCGAGCGGGGGGAGCGGAGCCGGACACCCCCAACAGCCCCCGTCGGGCGCTGCCGCTACCGGATCCGGGACGGACCGGACGGGGCCGGGGCTGCACCGTGCCCCCTGCCGGCCCCGCCGCGCGCCGCTCCGCCCCCGGTTCGTTAACGGCGGCCCCGGTGCGTTAACGGCGCCCCCTGCCGGCCCCGCCGCGCACAGCAGCGCCTCCGCTTCGTTAACGGCGCCTCCTGCCGGGCCCCCCTCCCTCCGCCCCGGGAGCTGTAGTGCCCCGGTCCGCCCCGGCCCCCCGAGGTCTAGGTGACACCGTCGGTGTTCGGGTGATGCCCCTAGTGCTCTCACCGCGGGGCCGGCCGGATGCTCGGTGTGGGATGTCCCAATGGCCCCGCGTTGCCCGCGTTAGCAGGGGCCGCCCCAAGGGGCAGGAGTGCGGGGGCAAGGGGCATCAGGACCCCGTGGTACGGATACTGCTCCTCCCGCTGGGGCTACGGCTCTGCGCGGCTGCAGAAATGCTCCCCAAAACAGCGTTTCACCTGTGCCGGGAGCCGCCTCTCAGCCACGCACGTGGGTGTCCCGGAACAGGGCGAGCCTCCCAGGGGACGCCCGTGTGCTGCTGCATCCCCAAAACGGCCCTGGCCCCGTGGTGTCAGGGGGAAGAGCAGTTCTGGGTGACCCCGGGGGTTTGGGGTGCTCAGTTTTGGGGTCACCTCGGAGTTTTAGTGTGACCCTGAGGCACCCAGCTCCGGATTACCATGGAGTTCGGGGTGACCCTGAGGCAGCCCCAGGATTCTCAGTTCTGGGTGCACTCAATGGGTTTTAGATGATTGTGGGGTGGTGCTGGGATGTCAAATTCTTCATGACTCCAGAGTTTTGGGGAGTCTGCATCGCTCTGGGTGCCTGGTTGTCTGTGTCCAGTAGCAGCAGGGTGCCCCATTTGGGGGGGTTTGGCTGTCCCATTTGGGGGGTCCTGGGTGCCCCATTTGCAGGGGTTCTGGGTGGGTGACCAGAGACACCCAGGCTGGGTTGTCCAGGTGGTCCCAGTGTGCCCAGTTCAGAGTGGGCTATGGGTGTGGGAGGGGGAAGAGTTGCCCCTGGCTGAGGTTGCTGAGTCCATTCCCAGACACCCCCTGCGCCTCAATTTGGGGTCTGGGGGTGTGGACCTGTCCAGAGGCACGGGAAGCATTGGGTGAGCTTTATTGCTGATGCAGTGGCCGCAGTCATACAAATCGTGATCAAGGTGTCACGACAGGAAGGATGGGGGGTGGGGGAGGATGGGCATCATATGACCCCAAAACCCACTGCCCGCTTGAGCTGGTGCTTTCCCTACTCTCTCTGGGGCAGATTTGGTTTCCATGCTCTGAGGGTTCTGGGGGTCCCCCTGCAGTGCTGTGGGTGCGTACAAGATGCCCCAAGCTCCTGGCCCCAGCCTGGCTCCCTGTGTCCCACCACTTCCATGCCCCCTCTCTCCCTGGCTGCTCCCTTCTCCCACCCTCCCATTCCTCTTGACGTCAAGCCTGAACCCCCGACTCTGCAGCCACTGCTGAATCCCAAAACTCTGCTGGCCACCCAGAAACCTTGTGGTGATGTGATGATGGCCTGGGTGTCCCCTGCTCCTCCCCAAGGCTGGGGGTACTCTTGCTCACCCCAGGCTGGACCCTGGATAGAGTGGGGTGCCAAACCCCTTTGTTGTGCTCTGACGGGGGATTTCCATAAGGATCAGTTCTGCAGACCCCTGGTCTATTCTTGGCATCTCTGGTGGGGCACAGTGCTGGTAGAAGAGTGAGCTTGAAGGCTTCACAACCATCAAAAAATAAATACAACCTCCTCCATCATGTCCTGCTGGGCCCGGCCCATCCTCCGTGTCCCAGAGAGATCCCTGCTCCTTAGCGTCGGTCACTGCAGGTTCCAAAGGGCTTGTCACGAGAAAGGTGAGTGTCTGGGGGTCTGCCATGGGCTGCAGGGGAAAAATCCTCCCGCACCCTACTGCAGCAGCTTCGGCAACTCCACCTGCAGGGAAGCACACCCCATTACTGGGCGAGCAATGGGAAGGGGTGCAGGAATGTCACTGCCATGGTGTAGGGACATCCATGGCAGGGTTAGATGGGCTACTGGGGAGAAATTCCTCCCTGTGAAGGTGGGGAGGTCCTCACATAGATTTCCCAGAGAAGCTGGGGCTGACCCATCCCTGGAAGTGTTCAAGGCCAGGCTGGATGGAGTTTGGAACAACCTGGGCTAGTGGAAGGTGTCCCCTGGCCATGACAGGAAAGAGATGATCTCTAAAGGTCTCTTCCAACCCAAACCATGCAATGACCTCATTCTCTTGGCCGGGCTGGCTGCCCCCACACTCCAGCCCATGGACAGCCCAGCAGGGACACAAACCACCTGGAGTGTGTGAGAGGTTTCAAGGCTCCATGCTGGGACCAGCATTAGGCCCTTTTATTCCAGCAGTTATTACTGCATGGGGTACATACTTGACAATGTGCTGCCCAAGGGTGAATTTATGGGCCTCCTGTATTAGGAGGGCAGTTGCTGCCACAGCTTTCAAGCACCCAGGCCACCCTTGGCTAACAGTCTAGCTGTTTTGAGAAGTAGGCCACACCTCTCTGCTGGTCCCCAAGTGCTGTGTCAGTACCCTCAGAGCAACATTCAGTCACTCATATGTAAAGAGTTCAAAAGGATTAGTCAAGTCCAGACTGACATCAACAAATGTTTCAGTTGTTAAAATGCAGATGAAGCCTCTCCAGCCATCCTGGGCCACCTTCTACCCCAGGGGCATGGGCTCAGCCACAACAAGAAGATATCAAGAGCCCAGTGAGTTATAACTTACGGATGGGTTTTTCCTGGTGTCCCAGCCCCTGGATCCTGGTGGATCTGCCTAACACAGGAGCCAAGGGATAGATCTGCACCTGTCATGCTCTCTGCCAAGAGATGGACCTGCTGACCCCATCTGCTCTGCAGGATGGTATTTAAGGATGGATCTTCCTTCCCTATGTGCTTGGCAAAGGGATGGATCTGCCCCTGTGCAGGAGTTGGACACAACCCCACTCCTGAGAGGACACTGCCAGAGTGACAGTGGCTATGACCTCAGCCCCCAGCCCCACCCTGTGCATGGGCCCCACCTGGCCCTGCACTTGCCTTCTTGAGCTGTTTGAGGTTGCTGGAGCGAATAGCTGCCAGGAGTTGGTCTCGAGAGTTCTTCTCCTGGACTGGCAGTGCCCGGTCTCCTAACTTCCTCTGTGTCGCTGGTGAGAGCGAGTTCTTCAGGTTCTCGTTGATCATCAGTGGTGGGGCAAGTGGAGGAGGAGGTGGGGGTGGTATGGTGGGTGCCCCTCCTTTCTTGGGAGAGCTTTTGGGGGAAGCCTTGGGGGATGGTTGTGGGGATGCTTTGGGGGACCCCTTTGGCAGTGCTCCAGGCTTGGGCACCTCCAGGAGGTCTTTCTTCTCCCCCTGTTCCTGTGCCCGTTTCTGTTCCTGAAGGCGTTTCTGCCTCTGCCTGTCCATGTTTCGGCTCAGCAGGTTGGTGACGGTCATGCGTGGCCCAGCCAGCTCGAAGTGGTAGCCCAGCTTCAGGAGCGTGGTGTTCTCTTTCAGGAGTTTGGCAATCTCCATCTCTGTTTTTCCCCCACAGATGTGCCGCTGGTTGTGGAAACGTAGCTCCGTCAGTGTGTTGTTCTGCAACAGTGCCCGGAAAATGGCCAGGATACCCTTGCCTGTGATGTGGTTGGAGTCCAAGTTGATGCTTGTAAGCACCTTGTTGGACTTGAGCATTATGGCAATGGCAAAGGCCACGTGGTCATCAGCGCGGGTGTTAGCCAGGGCAAACACCTTGACCACAGTGTTGAACTCCAGGGCCTCGGTGAAGCGCACCAGGGTCTCGTTGTTGATGCAGTCGGAGTTGTTCACGTTGACCTCGGTCACCTCAGCATCGTTGTTCTTCACCTTCTCGATGAGCTCGTCAAAGATGCTGGAGGCTTCATCGTCCTTGGCTTGATCTGCAGAGCTGCTGGAGGAAGACTTGGAAGGGCTGCTCCCGGCTGCTGCCTTGGCCTCCTGTTTCTCCTCCACCTTTTCTGCCTTTTCTGTTTCTGTCTGGGATTTATCATCCTCATCTGCCTTAGATTTTTTCACAGCTGAAGCCTTTTCCTCTTCTTTTTTATCATTTTCTTTCTTACCTTCCCCTCTTGTGTCTTTTTCTGCCTGTTTCTCTGATTCTGAACTCTTCTCCTCCTTTTTGTCCTTCTCTGTGTCCTTTGATGCTGAATCCTTTTCTTCTTGCTTTTTTTCCTCCTCTGTCTCTTCCTTTGCTGCTGAGACCTTCTCTTTTTCCTTTTTATCCTTCCCTGCATCCTCCTTTTTAAAAGATGAGCTGTTCTCTTCTTCCTTTTTATCCTCCCCTGCATCTTTCTTCAACTCTGAGCTCTTCTCTTCCCCCTTTTTGTTCTTCCCTGTGTCCTTCTTCAATGCTGAACCCTTCTCTTCCTCCTTCTTGTCCTTCCCCATCAGCTTTTTCTCCATGGCCTTGACTTTATCATTCATAGCTTTGTTCTCTTTACTCTTGGTCTCAGTCTCAGCTTTACCTTTCAGGTCTGTTTTCTGAACACTTTCTTCCTTTTTAGAGGCTTTCCCCACTTTAGTATCTTGTTTCTGGGCCAGTTCATTGGAAGGAGATTCTTTTCCTTTTTCTTCTTGATTTTTGTCTCCCTTATTCTTGCTCAATCTGCTTTCCTAGTGGGAGAAAAACAACTGGGAATTACAGAAACAGGTGCCTCTGACCTACAGACTTGCCACCCCCGTCTCACTGTCACTGACCTCTGTCACATGGGAACATCCTGCAGCCTGTGGCTGGCCTTTGAAGAGGAATATTTGGCCCAGCCAAGGTCCCAGCTCTAGGGAAGGGTTCAGCATCTGAGTTCCTTGAATGCAGGCAGAGCCTGCAGGACCCAGGTGTGATGAGATCCTGCTGCAGCTCTCTAAGGCAGCTCTGCTCTCCTTCTACTTCCAGCCCCTCCTCCCAAAGGGCTCTGGAGATTTGCAGGACACCCTCCCTAACAGGCCATAAAAGAACAAGCTGTAGGAGGCACCTTCTCTCATACCCCCTCTAAGTTATAATTTTTTAAATCATTTTTCTAACTAGGGATGGAGGTAGTGCCTGTCTCCCTGTGAGCCCCAGGTGCTTTCCCACCTTTCCTAAATGATTTCCAGCTGGATGCTTGGTGGCTTTTCACAGCCTGTAGCCCAACACTCTCCACACTGTCCTGGATGTGTGTGCAAGCAGGGGAGAGCCCATAGCAGTGTCCCTAGTGATACTGCTGACCCAGCAGTCACTCCAACCCTGGGTTCTGCAAAACCATTCTGCTTTCAACAGCAGTTAGCACTTTTGAGCAGAAAACCAAGGAAATGGGAACATGTAATTTACAGCTTTCTAATGCACGAGGTTCTCCCAGCACATCTGCTCCCAGTGTCCAAAGACATCATAAGAGGGAAGGGCTTGGAGAGTCTGGGGGAAGGTCAGAAGGAAGTTTTGGTCATTTTTACAAGCACGTGACCCTTGCCTTTGGTACAGCCTGTCCTGGGCATTGCTGCTGGCCATAGCCAACTCCAGCAGCTTGGGGACACAGCCAATGCCTCATTGCAGCCTTCAACCAAGGCTGAGGGGTTGGGAGGGGTTTCCATCGGCATTAGTGCAACCTTTGATATGGTTCCCATCCTTCCCTCTGGCAGTTGCCAGAGGGCAGAGTTAGGAGGGATACTGGGAAGAAATTCTCCCTGCGAGGGTGGTGAGGCCCTGGCACAGGTTGCTCAGAGAAGCTGTGGCTGTCCCATCTCTGGAAGTGTCCAAGACCAGGTTGGACAGGGCTTGGATTAACCTGGGACAGTGGAAGGTCCCCCATGGCAGGGGATTAACTTTAAGGTTCCTTCCAACCCAAAGTAGTCTGGGACTCCATGACATGAAACACATCCATTCCCAAGGCAGAGGAACCAACGCTTCAGGTGGCTGAAGGGAGATGAACTTGACACTGGGACCAAG